CGCGAATGCACCGCTCCCAACACATCCCGCACATCAGTCTCCTTTGATTCCGCCCCATTGATGGCGATGGCGGATATTGCGGTTCTTCTTGGCACGCTCGAGCTCGAGAATTTCGAGCATAAGTCATTCGTTCCTTTTAATAAACTAGAAGCATTGTTCACCCGCGACAAGATACACGAACTTGTACGGCAACATGACCTAAAGTTCTACCTCATCGATGAGATAGTTGACAGAGTCCTCGATGGAGGTCTAAGGACTTTCGCCATACTAGCGGCTGTCCAAGAAATTAGAAGCATTGAGCGGTTCATCAGAGAAGACCAATTTTCCGAGGTTTCTCTGGATGCAAAGCTGCCTCTGAAAGAAACAGATATCTCTCAGTATTTCTCGAACCCGGAAAAGGGCAGGCTATTCCTTCGCAGACAGTGGACCTTCCTAGCGCCAGTATTCTCCGAGAACCGATCACGCCGTGAGCTTAACGATCGAATCATTCTTCCCTTTTTGCACAAGAATCCTATTGGCGAAGGTGGTTTTGCGAAGGTCTACAAAGTAACGGTTGACGCGTCGCACCACACGTTGAGCACCTCGACCAACTCCAGTGGATTGAACGTATTAGGAAACGCGCAACAACAAAATGTGCCAAGCCTACCACTGGATCTAATCTGTAAACAACTGGAACGACCAGATGATGAAGGAACCCTGGCCGAAGAGTTTGAACACGAGGTCAGCATTCTTTTAGCCCTTCGCTGTCTCCAGCATCCGAATATTATTTCGCTCGTTACCGCCTTCTCGAAAGGTACGACCTATAGTTTCCTCTTACCGGCCGCAGACGGAGATTTAAGAAAGCTTCTGAACACCAGTCACCGCCTACCGGGCTTTCGGACTGAGACCGAGATCTTTGGATCGCTGTGGGGATTATCTTCAGCCCTCGATGCGGTCCACAACTACTTCTTTTCCCAGTTCAATGTACGGCAAGTTGGATGTCACTATGACATTAAGCCAGATAACATTCTGTTAAGCAATGGAAAACTTATGTTGTCGGACTTTGGCCTCTCGAGGCTACGGAGGCCGGAAGATGGCTCACAAACGACATTTCAAACAGGCAATCCGTTGTATTTGGCACCAGAGTGCGAATCCATCTCAGAAGGTTTCAAGCATGAAAGAATCGGAAGAGCGAGTGACATTTGGTCTTTAGGCTGTGTTCTTGCCGAGATATTGGCATATCTAAGTGTCGAGCCAGCGAGTGGTCCTGAGACAGTCCGAAATTTTGTCAGAGACAGGAGACTAAAGATTGGGCCATTCATCTCCTCCATGTTTTATGGAGAGAATGAGGTTAACCCAGCCGTGCAAAAGTTTTTGGAGAACTGCAAGACTGATCAAACTCTATCCAACGGGCTGAAGTCACTAGCAAGGATAGTGGGCAGGATTCTACAGTTTGATCCGAGTCAGAGGCCCTCTGCCGCGCATATTACTCGACTTTTATTTCACCTAACGCAACAGAGTCGTATCGCCACAATCACTTCGACCTTTGATAAAGGTTTTCGGCCGTTGGAACTCGAGTTGGAGATCGAGATGGAACGTTTGAGCATCTGGAGCGAGACGATCGGTTTATGTGCGGACTTGCTAGACGTACCCGAGTCTACTTGGTTTGCGATGAATCACACCTTTGAAGAGTATGAAAACTTGCAGCAACTCTTGATCAAGATAGAAGAGGAAACCGGCATGATTGCAACAGAGTTGCAGAAGACAGCTTCAGGCCGGCCGGCGTTCCAACTCTACTATCGCTTACAAAAACTACAGGATCAGCTATGGGATAGCCAAACTCTCGCTGTACGCCATCTTATGTTCGACCGGCTAGAAGAGATAATGCTGAGTAAGGACAGCCTTGCAAAGCCTCGAGAGGCTTTTGGCTCGATCCAACATGCCGTTGTGAGTAGCTATTCGTCGTCGACTGAACAGTTTCGCCAGCGATTCGTATATCTGGCAACTATGAGAAATGTCGCTTCTGCTATGTTGCGTCAAGATCGCCAGACGCAAGGCCTTAAGCTAGACAGAAAAGTCATCAAAGGCCCATGGTTCGATCTCGGTCCCCACGCAGTTGGCATCCTCGAGCCCAATTGCGTGCATGTCCTTATCGAATATCTGACTTATGGAGAGACGTGGAGTTCCCACGAAGACAAGCTGCTCGAACGCGTCAACGCAATAGCATCCCTACGCAAGAAGAGCGTCTCCGAGTCCATTTTTCCCATTCTTCGATGTCATGGCTACTACTGTGACCCTACACGATTTCGGCTCGGCATCGTATATCAGCTGCCTACCGAAGCCCGAAATACAGTGCCGATCAACCTGTTGACGGTGTTCGAGAAGACGAAGTCAAGATCTTTACAACCTTCGCTTACGCATCGCTACAGATTAGCATCAGCACTGGTCTCGTGCGTCTTGAACTTTCACCGTGGTGGCTGGTTGCATAGAAGTATATCCGCATTCAACATCATCTGCTTTCCGGACGCCTTTCCAAATGTCGCAGCCTCTCTCGCAAAACCGTATTTCATCGGATTCAACCATAGTCGTGTGAACGATGATAACGAATATTCTTCGCGGACCGACATGGAGTATCAGCACCCCGTATACCAAAGCAACACCCGGGCCTACGCAGATGACACAATGAGAGGCATTGTGCGTTTCCGTCAGGAGTTCGATTACTACAGTATTGGCCTGGTGCTTATGGAAATTGCTTTCTGGAGGCCGTTGAGTTCGATCACGCAAAGGATAGTAGGATCGCCAGAGCAGATGTTAGCGGAGTTGCAAGAAAAGTTCATACCACTGGTGAGAACATATATGGGAGATATATATGGTGATGCAGTACAATATTGTCTCACAGCCTATGAGGAAGGACACCAACCGCTCGAGAGTGTTAGGAATGGTTTCAACGAGAATGTCGTTCTGCTTATTTCGAAATGTTTTGTCTAGCTGAGTACATTTGTTGAGAGATTTGTGCCTGAATATCCCACCAGATAGCGTCTTTCTTTGGAAGCGGTTTGGAAGCAGTTTGTCGGGACGGGAGTAAGTTAACCACAGGAAACAATTTTCTTAGACAATCCATCGAAAGAGCCTTTGCCCACAGAAAGACCAATGTTTACGCCAGCCCAACGCTATAACAAGAGTAGTGCAAACCAGAATAGTTGTCACCAGAGGATATTTCCAGAAATCCGATACCAATATCATATACAAATTTCCACTTCCTGGCACTTTTTCAACTTGCACTAGATTCGAACTGAATATCGTCTGGGCCATAGTTAGCGTCTGTTCAACTGCTTATTGATGGTGGTCACCTTACAGCAGCCAGAGATGCAGGTGCGTAGAGAAGAGCCAGAAAGGTAATTATCTTCATGAACTTCGAATCGTTACGCATTTTTCTTGTCAGGCCCGTCATCAGGTTGCTTGCAGTCGTCGCTTGCTCAGTGAGCTTTCTGATTTGAGAGCCATCATTGCGAATGGCTACACTCGTTGTCAAGCTTATCTCTTCATGACGATGCTCTAGCATGTGGAAAAGCTGGCATGGTTAGTAGTGAGCAGCCTCGAGTTTTATGGACGTATGCAAGCTACCAGCTTACTAGTACCCCTAACTTTCTCTAGGAGAAGTGTCACAACTTTTGCATGCATTTCGAGGTCGGCAGCAAATTGATCAAGCACCTCGTGACTGCTTGGAATCTCGCTCTTTTGCAGTGCTTGAGCAACTTTTCCGATATGTGCGTTCAACGATCTTCCAACGTCCGCATTTGATGCTAGAATTAACGCGGCCTTTAAGAGTTTCCTCCGAATGAGCTCTAGATCTTGGACATCGCGGAATGTGACAGTGTAGTCGAGTCTGCAAGGGGTTCCGACGGAAGAGTTCAGTGCCTTCTCATCCTAATGCATCGCCACGTTAGCATGATAGAATATTTCTGATTATTTTTCTTCTCACCACTTCAGACAGCTGATCTTCCAAATAATTGATATATGATCTCCAATTTGATGCAAGGACGGATACAAATAATGCGTGTATATCCAAATGGTCAGACGGCAAAAGATCGAAGTCCTTTATGTCATGCACACAGCTCTGGAGTTTCAACTCCATACTTTTTGATGGCTGTATGATAATCCATAAGGAGCTTTGATCATCTAGATCGAAAGTATGGTACAGGGCTACCTGTCTCTCTGACCAGATCGCTTTCGTGCCTGGACGGTTATGTTTCTCGAAGTAGCGAACGTTGTAGCATAATTCCGATCTCCCAGCGCTAGACTTATGTTAACAGATGCCCAGCACCTATGGTAACATCTTAGAGAGTCTTACGACAGTTTGCTCTTCAGACCAACAATGTTCTCGTCTTTTGATTCGAACTTGATTCCAAAGCCTCGCACGAGATCCCAAAATGGCGTGAAAACTTGGCAAGTGCGCATTAAGTAGACGAACGCTTGATCGCTGAGTTGAATGTAGTCCCAAGTATCCTGTTGACGTAGGAAGCTGCGTCCATATAAATTGTTACTGGTCAGATTCGGTGATTCGTATTAATGCTCGTACATGAATGATAAAACTTCGTCACCACTATTCTGATATTCCGGATTAGCTTTCTCTGACTCATAAGCTCATGGCATTGGGGCGGTCTTACGGCTAAACCCTCTTTTAAATCCTGAACATTGTTGAATAAAATCTGGTCAATCCTGATCGTATCATTCGTAAGCGGTTTGATTCACCTCCATACCTTCCCCATTACTCACCTTGGCGCCAGTCGCCGGAGCGAGAGCTTGTCGACCCGTATCTTGCTGGGGTGAAAGAGGTGACCCATCTCCATATCGCTCGGTATGCCGGCGTCGAGGAATCTGCTCACACTAGAACTAGCCATGCTCTGAAGTAATCGAGCAGACTTGACAGATTTAGCAGACCACAATGTTTTATTTTCTAATCTCGAGACATGAGGTCAGTAATAGGTAGAGGATGTACAGCCCGTCCCAAAAGTGTTGCAATTCCTTGGCGCGACCCAAAAATTGCTGTGCTGGCGGGGCAAAAAAGTGGTCAAAAGACGGAATCGCTAAATACGTGATAAATAGGCGTGGATTTTACTTGTAAATACTTAATTTGGTAGTAGCTGTGTTAGAAGTATGCCATAAAGCAGTGCCAGAATAATCTAAGAAATATTTTTATAATTATTTTTACTTTAATATTTAGGTATACTTTTAAAATAATACTTTTACTTAATATAGTTTACAAGCGTCCTATATATATAAGTGTCCTGCGTACTTTTCTTCCTTATTATAATAATCTTTTAACTATTATATATAGCTATAACACAATAACACTATAAATTCTTAATCTTAAGAAGCTAGAATTCTCTTTACTATTTAGGCTATTTGTATATACTAAGAAATATTAATCTAACATGCTGCAAAGACGTACAATATCCCTTAAAGTACTCTCTGTAATCAAATAAAGGGCTGTACCCTGAAGGCTGAAGAACGTAATGCCTAACATAATTTGACCTTAACTGAAGAAGAGACACTTGTATAATATATCCTTGACCTGGACTTATAAGGATTCCCGCCCCGGATTAATCACGTATGAGATATAGCTGACCTTCTGCGTAAGACGCGTCACGCAAAGCCTGTTAGTAAGCAGTTAAAGATATATAATGTTTCTTAAAGTACTCTTTATAATTAAATAAAGGGTTATACCCTAAAGGCTAAAGAACATAATGCCTAATATAGTTTGACCCTGACTAAAGAAGAGACACTTATATAATATATCCTTAACCTGGACTTACAAGGATTCCTGCCCCGGATTAATTATATATAAGATATGGCTAACCTTCTATATAAGATGCGTTATATAAAGCCTGTTAGAGCGTGTGTATAACTTCTAGAGAGCCCTTTGTAAAGACCCTAATTAGATAAACGCGTGGTTCTAGCTAGTAATTAATATATATATAAAGTATAGTATCTAAGATTATAACTTTTATAACTTTAATAAGATAGGCTTTATAATAAAAGTTATCTATAATAATATAATAATTACTTATACAGATTAATCTAATTAAGGTAAGCAGCTCTAATCTAATAATTAGGAATAGGTAATAACAATTAAATATAGAAGTAATAATAGCTTTGTACTACTATTATTCTTAATC